TACACAATTCTGCAGACTATACATAAATCATGTCAAACTTCCTGTATGTCAGTAACATTGGCAACTATTGAATTTGCTGTATAGTGTACGTTTGAATTTTACAAAATTAAATACTGCAATTAATTCAGATTTCATAAAACCTGAGGCCTGCATTTTATCTGACATCAATTAATGAGTTTCTGGTTTTTTTCAACTTTTATTCAAGTAGATGGTTGAAATTTAACTTTTCAAATTCAGACCACACAATTTACCTCTGTCCATTAATAAGACAAAAGAGAAAGAGATGACATCACCTCATAGTACTGTACATGGAAACAAAAAATGGGGAAAGAGTGGCAATGGACTGCTTCACACAGCAGTGGGTGAAAACAGCCTGATGATGATGATGATGATACTATCAAGTTTTGAACAATTAAATTTTTTTCTTAAATGTGAAACATCACCAATTTATCATAACAATTACCAAGCTATGTTTCAGGTTTTGCACTATGACAAAAAAAAATTATCAGAATTTGGTTTAGGGTGGCCAAAGAACCATTTCTGTTTTAGCAAACAAGTATTAATGGTACTATCGTAATGTATACTGGGCTACCCATTTTGGTACCCATACTTGGATACCCATAATTTTGTCATAAGCCTTGTTCGCACTGGATTTTAAAAATGGTAAATTTAACCAGGGTAACTTTAAACAAAGTCATGGGTACATTTCACCATTGTTCGCACTTGGATTATTCATGCGGTTAGTTTTACCATAGTTTTACCAAGATTTTAACCTTGTGTATAAAAAATATTGAGGGCGCTAGTTTGTGACTTCAACTTCCGGTTTTGTTCGAGCGGTGTCTACATGGAAGAATTTTTAACCGTATTGCACGTTCGGATTGGACTTCTTGACCAGCGTGGTTAGTTTAACCGAGACCGTGGTAAGTTTTACTGGGCAGGCTGAGGTCGGTAAAATTAACCATTCGGTTTGGTTAATTTTACCCTGAGGGAATTGTAACCGACGTTCGGATTGGATTTTTTTTTGGTCAATTTAGCCAGTGACTTGGTTAATTTGACCAAATTAAGTCCTGTGCGAGAGGGGCTATAGTCTGTTGTACCTTTTCATCCATTTTTACACTGAAAAAGAGCCATGTAGTTTCCTTTTGAATTGATAAATATTACTATACTTTGACTTTAATGATATTCATTACAAATGTCCAAGAGTCACAGAACTTTAAATTACCTGTACACATTAAAGCAATGCCGAATTCAGATTTTCCTGAAAGGATTTTACTATCAGTTTTACAGAGCAAATGTCACATACATATGCCATGTTTTTATGCTGCTGAATCCCATAGAAAAATAAAATACATTAGGCTTACTGATGGTTAAAATGGAGATAATGTAAATATTAAATGAGCGGTTCTCAGGTATACTGTAGGTCACAACTGAAAATTAGGTCGCCAAATAAATTAGAGGGTTGTATTTTAAAATAAACATGATAATACAATAGTTTAGATGAGCATTCAATTTTAACTGAATTGGCCGGTACATTCCTTTAAATACTTCACTGCTAGATTGAGGAAAATGCCAGCAGAGGATAACTATGAATAAATGGTTATTGTTCAGAAATTGTTATATAATGATTGGTATGCTTGACCCCATCCACTGTTATATGATAGCTGATAGCACTACAAAATTATCTATAGTACTTATGCAAACAAGGACTTTATGCAACCATTTATCAATAAGATGAACTGTGCAATAACACTCTTTCAGATGAAGTACTGCATGGTAATACAATTTGTTTACAGCCATTCAGACTATCAAGTTTTATTTGATTTGATAAAAACATTTGACATGCATGGTCATAATGACCAATGCTGTAGCCAGCTACTGAGACAGTCCCACTCCACACAATTTTTCTAATGAGTCCACAAAGAATGGGGCCAAATTATGTAATTTTATATATAAAATGGGTCCACTTTTTAAAAAATGGGTTAAAAATCTCATATTTAGCTTAAAATGGACGGACATTTTAATTAAATAATCAAAATTATAGGCCTACTACTCCCAAAATCGTGATCTTTAGTTGCTCATTCTATAGGTTAAAGAAAATTGAATAATACCGTAATAACTACAATAATTTTAAATTAAAGAATAGATTATAAATATAATAATGTATAATAATGCATTCTTTGACATCTAAAGTAGTATAAGATTTCGGATTTGCGTGATGTAACGCTAGAACGGATTCGCTTATCCTTGACTAGTGTACATTCTCTGCATATCATAGATTTGGTCCAAATGTCTTAGAAACCAGGCAACAACGATAACTTATCGTTTTTGCATGCGGAGATGACTGCTTAGTGACGCCACTACGTTCTAGATCCTACTGTCATTGTGCAATCGAAAGCTCCATATTGTATAAATGTTACACATAATCTCAACATCAAATGTGCAGTTAATTGACACCTGATGCTACAATACATTCAACTCCAGCCTATATTTTGCAGGCTACATTAATTTGATCATGACATGAGCTGCTTTAAATTCAGAAAATGAGTCTTCATAAAACATGTTCTACAATGTAAAATAAATGTATTGTAATGTAAATGTTTGTGCGCAATGTATTGTTCTGTACTGTAATATATTGCACACAATACATTGCATTGTGTATTATTTATAATAATAGATTGAACACAATGTATTGATAATAAGCTGTGATTTTCTCCATGTTGCAACAGCAGGGCTCGAGTGTTTATATGATCGTATTTTAATTTTTGGTACTGAAGATATACTCTTCGCAGGTTCTGAAACAACCTAGACAATTGTCTGAACAAACTACACAATGACAAAAATGCATTATTACCTATTAAATTACTATTGTACTTCTAAATAAAATCAATTTTCTGTATTTTCTACAGTAAGTACTAGGCCATGGTAGGCCCTATTCAGCAAATAAATATTACTAGCTTTGATTTTCTTCTTGATGCTGCAGCAGGGCTCAAGTGTTTTTTTTCTTTTCATATGATTGTATTTTACATTTTGCTACTGTAAGATACGCTACTCAATGCAGGTTCTGAACAAACTTAGAGAATGTCTGAACAAACTACACAATGACAAAAATGTATTTTTATCATATTAAATTACTATCAATCTTGCCAATCAACCAGGGTGACCTTTCTTTAGAAATGCTCTGAGTTCTGAATAAATTTCCACAACCTTGAATGCCATTTTTGGATACTCAAGTGCAGTGCTTCTTAGACTTTTTTCTTTTTTAGAACCAGAATTATAGCGCCTATCACAATCTGCAGATCATACATGGCGATTATACAAGGTGCTGGCATCCCCTGGTCACTGAGTTGGCAGACCCATACATTGTGCAAGTTTCTCTGCTCCCTGTGGAGTATCCCTGTTCATTGCTGCTTGTACGCGCAAAACACGTACATTCAATACCATATACCATCCTACCAGGTACCCATTCATACTGCTGGGTAGAGAGAGGCAAACATTAAGTAAAAGTGCATTGCCCAAAGACACGCAAAGCAACAAGTGTTGGTCTCGAACTCCTGATCTCAAGATCGGAGGTCCAACACCTTACACGCGGCACCACACAATTGAGTGCCACTTGGAGGTTCTTTACTGAACCTATGTTTCAAAACCTCAGCCTCCAAGTACTGTTCAGATGGACATTATTCTGTACAGTAGGTTCCTCTCTGGGCTCTCCATAATTGCATTAAAAAATGAGTAAACATATTAGACAAGCAATTCTTTCAATATATAAGTCTAGCCATTATATACAAGTCCACTAAATGAAGGCATGTGTGTAAGAAAATTTTGTTTCTGGCAATGTGGGTCGCCAGTCGCAGATTATTTTTTTTCTATTTTGTTAAAATGTTTATGGCATCCTCCAACTACTCTAACGATGCGATTGCGAACACAAACCACCCTCTTGAATGGTGCTGTATTTTGACCTACTTTTAAGTTGGGGTACACATGATTATGTTTGATAATTTATACAGACCCTAATCTGTGTTTTTGCTCTTTCATTGCCTCGCATAGTAAAACTAGGCCTGGCAACAATGTACTAGTAGTACAGAGGGAATACCAGGCCATGATCCAACATTGTTCCACTAGGTCATATACTGCCAAGATATTTAAACAAATTCACAACTCATTTACTGTACTCTCTACCCTTAGCCTAGACTCAATTCAGGGGTGCAATGCTATTTAATTTCATAAATAATTTGAGTAAACTTTACCATGTTGGTACAGTGTAACTGCCGATAACTTCTGTGGAAAATGCATTGTAATATAAATCCCGGGGATTTTTTCGTCTGACGCTATTCTACTGTTCTAACCATACTGGTTATACCACTGAGCTGACTGACTGTTTGTTGTAAAGTTAGTTTATCGTATCGAAGACGGTTGGAATGTTAACTTAAGTGAAATACAAGGAATAACACAAAGTGTGACAATTTCCGTGCATAAAAGTGGTTCATCATCTTGTTCTCCATAAATAGATATTTATACATGGGTAGGTGATCGGGTCCACTTTTATTCTGACTTACATAGGCCTAATTGTGTTCCAATTTATTTAATATACTGTAGGCCTAGGCCTATATATAGGTATTTTAATAGCATATATAGCATAGGCTAGGCCCTAGCCTAGCCTATGCTATATATGCTATTAAAAAACCTATATATTCTCTAGGCCTAGCCTAATAGCAAAAGAGGCCTACCGTGCCTCTACCAAGTACTACTTACTAGGCCTAGGCCTAGCCTAGGCCAGGTCTCTACTACTATACTAGGCCCTAACTATAATCAATAGGCACAATCAATAGCCTTGGCTAGGCCACACACACAGAGTCTCTCACCATTTGTTTGTGTGGTGAAAGTGTCCGAACAAATTATACTATGACGTTTTATACTTTTAGAAATTCAACAGTATTACGATCAACACATTCATTACAATTCGTCAAAAGAGTTTATTTTAGTACCTTGTTACATATACTTACCGAAAATGGCATTTTACGCTAAAATATTCTGTTCAAAAACCATATTTTCCATTCGTTTTCTTTCTCACAACAAAACAACGATCACATACAGTACTTGACAATTCAAGCAATCATCCGGAAAGATTCAAACAAAGGTCAGCCATAAGCCGAATTCGAGCAGATCCCTGGTCGAGCGGAAATACAGGGAGAAATGATAAACACGGTAATCAGGAACAGGTAGATATTGGTGTGGTGATTAGTAATATTTTAAAGGAAAGTGGCTTACAACAAGTATATACGAGAATTAATATTTGAATTTCAAAAGAAATATTTTATTAAGAATAAATAATAGCATGTAATAACTGTACATCCATTCTAACCTATTTAATTTATTATTTTTTAATTTCTCTCTAAAAGAGAAATTTAACTTAAAGCAGACATTAATAATGCCGGTATTAAATTATTGGGGATTCCACCAAAGATGGATGGTGTTGGCAGACAAAAATGAAAATAAAAAAAAGACAACTTTTAAAATATAAATAGTGATTTTAGTAAAAATGTGTATACAGTACATGCTCCATATTGTACAGTGGCATTGTTTTAGTAGGACGTTGATGTTGGTATTTTTGTAATGGATATTTAGGTAGAACGAGTGCAGAACTTGATGCGAGCTACCAAGAAATAATTTATTAATTAGGATTCAGTAACAGCAGCATGCAGACTCCATTCTAAACACTTGGAATAAAACATTCAAACATAAATGTATTATATGGTTTTATCAGACCCAGCTAAACATTTTCCCTCTCCCAAATAAAGACATTACAATATATAGTGAGTTTAATGCACTTATTTTTGAATAATAAATGATGATGATGGTGATATGAACCTACACATCAAAATTATACACAGCATAAGAATATGATGTTTACAGTGTTCTATTGAATAGGCCTATACTTATAGTTTTAGTAGGATGGGTTTTAGCAATATTGTAATGGAGATTTAGGTAGAACGAGTGCAGGACTTGATGTGTGATTACCAAAAAAGGGTTTATTAAGAATAAATAATGGCATACAGTAACTGTAAATCCATTCTAAACACTTAAGAATAAAAATGATTTTACATTTACTATATCCTTTGCTGGTGTCTTGTATCTGCTTTTTTCTTTTATGTGTGTTGTGAGTGTGTGCTGAATGTTTCCTTTCCTTTTTCTTTTTCATGTTTTTTGGGGGTTTATTGTGCAATTTGCTAATTTTGATTATCATGTATATATAACTATTTTAAAATTATAT